ATGAGTGATACTACTTTGTGGTTAGGTAGATAAGTTAAAATATGACCTGACCATCCTCTTCCTGTCTGAGCACAGGAAATGGTAGATTCGGAATAGAAATGTTAAATAAAGGAAAGGTAATATACTTGCATCTGCTACTAACTGTCAATCAGCTTTTACAGAATCTCTAAACTGAAAGCTTCCATAGAGGAGGGACTGTGCTGGTAGAACACTTGGCATCTAATAGTTATACAATAAATACTTTTAAATGAATGAATTGTATAGCCGCTGTTAACGATAAAAAGTTATTACCTAATTACAAAACTCTTTAAACAATGGAGCAGTATGGTACAAAATAAAAATATTTAACTTTAATTCAGTAATGAGAAAAAACATTTTTGTCCTTTACTAATATGTACTCATGTAAGTATTTCATCCAGTCTGAAAAGCATTTTTTTAATTATTACCATGGGCTAAGTACTAGGCTGGGTCACAGAAATGCCAAAAGCATATCTTTTTTTTTTTTTCCTTAAACTAGGAGTTCTGGCTCTTGGAACTGTAATGTTTGGTGAAAAGCAGATGTTCAATAGATACTACCATTATGATCCCCACCTGCGCCTGGCTAGCATTGATACAGTAGGCCTCTTATTCACAATTTAGCTTTCTGCGGTTTTACTTTCTGCTGTTTCAGTTACTAGCATCAACCGCAGTCTGAAAATATATTAAATGGATAATTCCAGAAATAAACAACTTATAAGTCTTAAATTGCGTGCCATTCTGAGTAGTGATGAAATCTCATGACATCCTGCTCCGTTCCTCCCCGGATGTGAATCATCCTTTATTTAGTGTATCTATATGCCAAAGAGAAGCCATAAAGTGCTTCCTTTAAGAAAAAAGGTGAAAGTTCTCAATTTAATAAGGAAGGGAAAAAAAAAATCCTTTGCTGAGGTCGCCAAGATCTACGGTAAGAACGAATCTTCTACCTCTATATTGTAAAAAGAAAAATAAATTTTCGCTGATTTTGCTGACATATCTTGATCTGAAAAACTTACAGCTACAGTGCATCATAAGTGTTTTGTTAAGATGGAACAGACTTTAAATTTGTGGACCGAAGACATAACATCATCACAGCTCCATAATCCTCCTTCTGACAAATCTTCAGAAGGCCAATAGTCACCTAACACTACGTCATTCACCTTACTTCATCTCCTCACGTAAGCATTTTATCTTACATCATCACAAGAAGGGTGAGTACAGTACAACAAGATATTTTGAGAGAGACACACGCATAATTTTTATTACAGTATATTATTATAATTGTCCTCTTTTATTATTAGTTGCTCATCTTTTATTGCACCTACTTTATAAATTAAACTTTATCATAGGTATGTATATGTAAGAAAAAAAACATAGAATATATAGGTTTTGGTACTATCTGCAGTTTCAGGCACCACTGGGGGTCTTGGACCGTATCCATTGCAGATAAGGGGGGACTACTGTATGTGTAAATCAGAAAAGAATAGTTAAGTTGGCTAACCAGCCATGGAGAGAGTGTATATAATCGAACCTTGTTAGGCTCAAATGATTTAAAACAGTCTTGACCAAAAAATCTTGGCATTTTCCTGTGAACTCAGATGGAAGAAGGCTTGAGAGCTCAGATACTTATCAGATTAATTTTCCAAGGTCTGTACTCTATTTTTAATTTCTCAGCTCAGAAACTATATGTGGATTCCAATGAACTATATAATAATTCTAAATTTCTTTACAAAGCAGTGTTGGCTGTCTACATTTTGAACTCTTTCTAACAGCATCCTCCATTAATTTCTCCGTCATACACTTTTATTTACTTAGTCTTGCTAATTCTCAATTTACTCCTCTATGAAATAGGAATAATAAAAGTTCCTTTTGTATACATTGGTTAAAAAGGTTAGCAAAGAAGTCTGGCACTTAAATAACTGTGAATGAGTGATAAATGCAGTAATTCCATATTTAAAAAAAAAAAAACATGTAAAATCATTACCTTATTTAATCAGATCATTTTAAATAGAATCGTAGAACCTCATATACATACCCAGAGATTTTCTGTGTTTAAAACCAAAACATTGTCATTTGCTAAAGTTAAGGAAAACTCATTCTTACAAAAACAGTAAATAAGTGTATTACAAAAAGTAAAATGAGATATTCTATGGGCAATACTAAGAATTCTTTCACAAATCGAAAGAGATTATGTCAGTAGAAATGACAATGACGATAAAATCAATTTCTCTTTGTACAAACATAAATTAAATCAAAGAGTATTACACACATCTCTGAGATCTGTTGAATTAAAATTATTTTAATTACTTTGATCTATCCCCAGCCTCTAATAGATATTTACTTTTCAAAAATACTTTAACTTCCTCAAGAAAAAAATACTTTAATATTCTCTGACTTCTACTTAAACTATGAACACAGTATTCCTGAACTGTAAATTATACACTAAATGACATAGCTTAGAAAGATAAACATTCTAACTAACTTCTCCAAGTGATTATACATATAATTTTTTAAATTTAATCTTTTTAACTTGGGGGGTGGTTTTATATAAACATAAACACTTGTCAAACTCTTTAGACTATACATTTAAAACCTGTTCATTTTATTGTATCTAAACTGTGAATCAAGAGAATTGACTTAAATGATAAAATAAGGGCATGCATGAGAATATTTCTTAATGATTCATTTAAATCCTACTCTTTCAGAGTAATTTATTCTCATTTTCCTTATGCTAACTTGGCCTACACTAAGGGAATCTTTGCAGACAAGTGTCTTTGATTTGGACTTTTGTTAAGCAGAAAACTTAGCTATACTCTTTCCAAG